TGGATACATTGTGCAAACCCATGTTTCTGACTTCTCTATTCAAATATCCTTTTACTTGATCTTTCTGTGTTCTGGTTGTTGTCCCGAATCTGGCAGCAGAAAACCCGGATTGCGGTAGAGTTATACTGGGGATACACGTATGTTTCGCCTGAGTATGTTCAATTGCTACTGCATCAGAATTTTAATCGAAAATCCTCGAATATTAGATTTTTTGTCGTGACAAGGATTGCTCACTTAGTTCCACTTACTTGAGTGATGTATCTTTCTTTGGAAAAAAAACAATTTTTCATAGTCTCATCTTAGGTGGATGACCGGAGCACCAGACGAGCGAAGGATTGCACAATTAGTCGATGTAAAAAATAATGCGCTCAGGCGCTGCGGCCAAGTTGTGTTATTTCCCCTTTGGTTCTATTGGACACATTGAACAGTTTACGCATCAACGTAAACAGGGAAATTGCCGCATTTTCTGGGTACTTTCTATAAAAAAAAACATTCAACTCACTCGTGCTCTGGTTGGATGTGGGCCACCTTGAAACTCCACTGTCCCATACGCGTTGGTTGGCACCTCACGTGTATGTGTTTTGACCTGCCAGCGCTCTGTTGCAGTCGGAATACGATGCGTGGTCATACTCGGACCGCCTGCAACCAGTGCACGAAATCCCGAGGCTCCTAGACGAGCCAATGCCTCCAGTTTGACATCTGGGGCGTGCTCGTTCAGACTGAGACCGCAACAACAGCGGGCACTTGGAAGAAAACGAAGCGATCACGGAATCCAACAGGATCAAGACGGAACAATCAAAACTGACAAATCGGTTGGGACAGAAGCATATACATGTTAAGGAACTCAGGGCATTTGCTCAACAAAGCCCGTCTTCAGGCATCTATCGCGCGGTCAACAACCGAAAGTGTGTATCTGTCAGTTGGGAATAGTTAGAGGCTCGTGCGTTGTTTAGGACTGCCTTTTAAAATTAACAATACACTCGTTTCTGAAAGATGATGTCATGTGAGCATGGGGTGAATTTATATCGTTTTCAACGAAGTTCGGTAGAGAAACTTATTCGTATAACAGATGCATTAAAATGTAAGTGTGTACGTAACAGAAAATAAGACAATTTCGACTTGAAGTCTTTATCTCTCATCTTTTTGATCCTTTATTTTCACTTCCTTTTACTGAATATACAGCGGTACAGTTTCCAGGAAGAAGCGACCAATCAAAGGGCCTAATACAACAGGGAAGATGGGAAAGTCAGCTGGTGGCAGTTGGATTTGAACAGACGTTTTCCAAGGCAATAATTTGGTGGCCTTCAACGCTCGATTACCACAAATGAGAATTTTTATTAAATAATACTATAAGTAAGTAAGTTTTCGATTATCATTGTTGTATAACAACAATGATAATCGAAAACAAGTAAGATGGGAAGAACTCAGAGTTTACTGAAATATGGGCACTATAAGGACACTATGTCTATCAGTGGTGGTACATGCAGAGAATATCTTAAAATTAGAAAAAGTGCGAGAATGTGACACATTTAGTCAGATCGATGTAAAATTAGTGGCCTCTATTAAGTATGACGTTTTTGATAAATCGATCAGAGAAATCATTACGTTTGCAGGCAAACCAATGACCAGAAGTTCCTGGTTTCAGTACGGTGAAAGAGCTAAGGCCTCAAAAGGCAAGATACAGCATCAAGCGATCTTACGCTGCTTAAAGAAACTTCGACTCAAACGAACACCGTCTGACCATGAATGAGAATCGTATTTATTTATTTATTTTTTCATTACGGATGAAATTCCATTTTGGGCAGTTCAATCTGGTCCCGATTTACCATGAAGTCTTACAGGGAGAACTTTGAAATTCAGTCGCGAAAATAGTAGGGTAGTCTGATAATCATTGTGACTCCAGCGGACGAGTCCCAAAGCATTAATTTTCAAGGTCAGTTTGCCTATTTCTACTTATAAACACAAAAATGTATGGAAAATAATCTGTTCGCATCAATCACAGCTATATTGCCGATATGCTCAGCCGGATAATATGTTTTTGACTCCAGCTCAAGCACTGTATTAGTGCCGACGAACTCTATGAATGAACGAGTCTTGCAATCGCGCTGCACACTGTAATGCTCGTACGTATAACTCACTAGACAAAGCAATTGGGTGAGTACACTTCGGTAGTTTCGCCCAATCAATGCAAGATAAATTCAGAGAACTGATGCAATTGATGTGTTTCAGTCAGGAAAATTAGTCCTGTTCTTCTCTTTCCAGTCTCTGTCTCCGCAGTGCGGGCGCTTGTTTGTACTGTACTTATCTAACCTTGTCCAGTGTCATTGGGATTGCATAATTCATAACGGATTGTCCAAAGACATTTGCCACGTGGCATTTCCCCCTCGTTGCATAGAACGTGACACAATAAGAACAGATTTTTAGGGGAAACTTGGTGCTTTTTCAAGTATTTAAGTGGGAATGGAACACGCTACCAATAAACTACGCTCGGAAACATATGTTCATAGAGGAAGAACGTGCATGCAACTGAACCAAAGCTACTTGAAAAGATTGTCAAGGTTACCAATCATGAGTTTTTGATCACATGATTGAATCCCATTGGATTTTTTCCAAATTTTCTAACCTACAAATGCACCGATACGCCTCCATGCCGTTAAGTTGTCACGATCTCGAGACCACCACTCATATAGCACGGAGTTTTTAAAACCTACAAATGAGGACCTCAATGGGAAGCTTCACTCACATAGTTCCCGACATCTTGAAGACGCACAGCGCTGCGAGCGTATGTGATGAATTCAACACCCAAAATTTTATCAATGATGCATCGGAATAAGTGGGTTTATTCCGTCAATTCGGAAGCTAGGATTTTGATACCGTTCATCATTACAGAAGTCTGTTTAGTGTTCTTTCAACAGTAAGAAGGGTAAATCTCATATGATTGAGGACCTATTTGTTTTCCCATATTACGTTGATCACCATTTAAATCAATAACACACTCAATCTTTTCTTCAGTGGGTCTATCCCAACTTTATTCTCTAACTGAATGAGGTTCGTGCCGGAAGTAACTAAGATCAAATTCTGAAAGCGCCAAGTTACGCTTGAGTAAAAGTCAAACCATTTCCATCAAGGAGGCCAAACTATACATGTGCACGTTAATTCATGGAGTTATACAGATTTCAAACGAAGTGTGGTAATTCCAAAGATGAAATCGGCAATGCTTCTGGTTTGAGCGCGTTGACAGCGGTTGAAATCCATTTGACCTGTGAACGATACATCAGACGTACTTGCACGTTCATTCGGGTGGCATACCTATAGATGTATATCTTAACCTAAGCACATGTCTACTCACAATCTGACTGATCACATTCCATCGGACAGCACACTCAAATGAACAAGAAAGACAAATAACCACGACCAGGCATTCCGCTCAGATTGGAAAGTACAGCATAAGAGATACATGAGGTATAGATAGACACGGACAAAAGGACCAGAGGAACTCGTCAATGTGTCTTGGTGTGCGGTTTAGTCGATGGATGTGCGCCAGCATATCTGGCAGAACGTAAACACAATCAGTTGTATTGACTAAACATTTCTGAGCCTTACACAAGTCAACGCTCCACAGGTATTCCGTCAACACGTGACAGAACAGTACAAAAGTGGGAACACAAGGTAGATTAAATATGTGAGTCGAACAGTAACTGTGTACATGCAGGTATGTTGTGGGAGTTCTCACGTAAGTCTGGTAGTTTTAAACGCAAAAGAAACTCAAACAAAAAGCTTAAAAGAATTGATACACCCACAAATTTCGATTGGAAAAAGCAGTCATTTCTGTGTCTATTAGGGACAAACCTACTCCTCCATTACTCTCAAAACAAATAGTCAGGTTGTGAAAATTTACAACCGAGTTATAACCCTAGAAGCTGAGAGGAGAGAGGATCGACATTCACAACAAGCTCGCAAAGATCGGTTGTGCTATATCGTGTAAATGGAAAATGAAAAACGGTCTGATCAGCTGCCTGGTGTCCGATTGGCCAGTATGCTTGCATTCTGCCTGTGAAGTCCCGGGTTCGATCCCCAGTTGGGTCAATGAATCGCACTGATGGTGAGACCCAACCGGGTCGAAACAGCTGTCCATTCTTTCCCAGCTTTTTAGCTCAAACCTCCTTTATACGGCGAAGTCATCATACCAAGAAATCAAACCATCAATCACTCTCGTGCGATAAATTTAATGATCCAGATTATATAAATAAATTCACTTTCTAACAGACAGTAGAGCGGAACAAATGAATATAATCAACAATTACTTCTTCGTTGTCTTTTAAAGAGCGATGGGTCAAGCAGTACGATGCCAATTATGTCGCAGATTGTTGCACTTATTTAACCACTCGGACTGTTATTCTTGATTCAGCGCAAGATTTAAACGAAATTCATTTACCAGTTTACTCCTACATGTTTCTGAATCCAAACTGTGGCAAACAAATTATTGCACAAGAACATATATGACAGAACTTCATTCTAATGTTAAAAAAAAACAATTCACTCGAGGTGTATATAATACGAGGGTAAAATATGTAGTGTGTGATGGATCAGTGTAACATGCCAACCAACAAGTTCCTTGAACGAACACCTGTATCAATTGTTCGATCAGAGAAATTGGGATATAAAAGCGAAAAAGTCCTTCGTCTAGCATTCTAGAGGGAGAGACAAGTGTCTACGAACAGAATTCGTCCGACGTGCCACTTGATGGATCGAAATTTCAACCTGCCTCAAGTGCTCTAGTTATGTCACATACCGCGCCAATCAACCGCACGTCATTGTTCCATTACCTAAAAGAAGCGTTGTGCCCCATCGACCGCAAAGACCTAGTCGGTTTGATTCTTTGAAAATAAATGTCTCAGAAGTATTTGAAACTGTAGGGAATGCTCTAATTGGGGACAGGTCTATGGGGATCCAAGCAATTCATTCGAAATCAGTAGTGGTATTTGCCAAGAGAACCATATTTATATGTTTCTGTTCAATTAGTCAAGCCATTATTGATCCGCAAAACGTTGATACCAAATGGATGGGCTTCGGTAAATCTATGCTGTCTATCAGACGCTGACAATGTCGACAATCTCTGAGATAGTATACAGGATGCACAAACACAAACCTGATAAACTAATAAGAGGCACCGAAGCTGTCCCCTCCCATCCATCCATCCACATCCTAAATGCGAACTGAATGGAGTAAGCAGTCGACCTTCGTAGATTAGGTTGGTTGGGGCATGTACTACGCATGGCACCAAATAGGTTGCCACGGCGAGCGATGTTTGTCGAGGCAGGTAGTGGCTGGGAAAAGGTCAAGAGCGGTCAAACTAAGACCTGGCATGATGGTATGAAAACCCTGACCAGGAGACTAGGTCACATAAGTCCCATTAGGCTCCCTGGCTGGGGACCCCGAGATCATGGTCATCGATGGTTAGAGACACTGAGCGATATGCCTGGGTGTCGCAAACAGTGACGCTCATGCATCTACTCATTATTCTTGCAAATCCAGTCTATAGGAATTCTCTATCTTCTCCTTGAATTTGCTCTTAACACCCCAATCTTCATTCTGCTCTCTTAAACAAATGGGCAACCAAAAGACAGCAACGAAAACCGGCGCACCAAAGTGCATCGTTAATGGTTGTAAAAACTGAAACTGAACTGAAATGCAAATCGATACTGCAAATCTGGGCTCTGAATAACAGCAGTTTGGAGCTCTGGGCTCAGGAATCAAGTAGTTCGTGGTTTTAACTAAGTACCTGTGTGACGAATAACGGTAGCACAGTAAAGCAGATAAGCGCACACACATTCAAGAGCCGAGCAACGTATGCTGGACTGGAAAATTTGGCATTATTGCAACGTTTCGCTGAAGTTGAAACAGTGCTTATATTGTGCTACCGTGCAATCAGTTACAATTTACGGTTGAGCCTGTGAGTTTACGTGTCGGAGGTACGCTTCTATCGCGGTTTTCGATCAAAGACGTTCACTTCACTCAGTGCAAGTGTAATAAAGCGAACGGAATAGCAACACCGATGTAAGCCATCCTACATTAATTGAGTGTTAAACGTGTCTGGTTTGAATACGTAAAGTTAGAAAGGTGACGTGGAGACAAGATATGAAGATATAAGGGGTATAGTAGGTATCGCTTGTATTCCAGGTTGGTCCAAAAGACCCTATGTCTGATTAAAGAACAAGGCAGAAAATCAAAGGCAATACTGCTTCTGTGATTAAGTCATTTCAGAATATCTGAAGAAGTGTGCACGTGTAGTGAAACTGTATTTTGCATATACGGATCGTAGTAATTCACTATTCACCCTTCTTTTCAAGCGAGTCCAACAATCATCCTCCCTACGCATGCGTCTGTACAGTATGTCCGAAAACGCTAGCTCGAATGCCACGCAATAAATAAATCGTATCGTAAAACATTGAATGCACGTAAGCACTAGCGGATATACGAGATTATTTTCGTTTATGACCTACACAATCTGGAGAGTGTTACAAACAGTGGCGCTCATGCATCTACTCTTGATCCTTACAACTATGCTCTCAACATTCCAATGTTCTCTCTGTTCGTTTATTCAAAACACCAACCACACCGCGCAAAGGTGAATGCATGTTTAATAGTTGCGGAAACTGAACCGGACCGAGCTAAACCTAAGATTCTACACAGGTAATCTAGCCCATAGGTGACAATGTGTTCCCTCAAATCCCATCCGCCAGCTGTCGTCACAACTGCATTGCTGCGCGGCAATCAGAAAAAAAAATAAATGGTTCAAGTGTTAGTCATCTAAAAGTAAAAGTACCTACAATCGGTGAAAGCAATTAAACGCCGTGGGGTCAGATTGTGATGGACAGATATTCAGGAACATGAGATGAAGCATTCGTATTATATATGATAAGCACAGCAAAACACGTCATCGTATCGCAGTCAAAATGCAATAATTACAAATTATGGAATAATAATAGAGAAGTAAGCTAACTGTGAATAACTTACTTCACAACAGATCGACGGGCCGGAAGATACTTGCCACATTCAAGCGCTGTAATAGTTTCTTCAATCCAAGGAGTCTGATAACGCACAAGCACACACAAAACAGTAAGAACATTTGTAGTGTGCAAAACAAAAAAAACAATGGAAAAGAATTGAGAGCCAACATTGCATCTTGAATCATAAACGGAACCAGTGTAAATAATTCAGTCGCTACGGATAACATTTCCTTCTTTCGATGAAATGCTATTCAATTTTAACTGAACTGTGAACAATTGTCCACGCCAAGTCTACGCAAATATAATGATATCAAAAGTGCTTACTGGGTCGAAATAACAAAAACACTGTTCATAGAATTGGAATAGGCAACTTAGTGTTGTTTTCACTGAAGAAAATTTGCGCTAAGCAAAACGGTACAGCATCGATTCCAACTCGCCCGGCGAGGCAAGTGTAAGGTCCAGTGAGACAAATACAATAAATGAGTTGTTCGAATTCACTATATAAACATGAATCTAAACACTGACTCACACCGTATTTGTGATAGAAAAAAATGGTCCACATCATCAATAACGCTAGAGTGCTGAATATCTTGATTTTTCATGCGTTGATGTCAGGCATGCCCGCAATGGTCAGACACACCTCCACATTGATAGAAAAGGAAATCAAACGATTCGATTTCTTTTGCACCTAGAAAATCCTAAGGGGTCGCAACGGGAGACATCTATGGAAAGGTATTCGGCTGATAT